CCTGACTCCTTCAAACAGGACTACATCAACAAGAGGTTCAACAAGGGCAATAATGGGGCTGCGGCAGGAGGAGGAGGAGAAGGTAGTGGTGGCGCGGTGAATGGGCACAGGGACGGCGGCGTCAGAGACATCGAGGACCACAGCTTCAACCAGTCGTCGCCCTATGCGACGCAGCTTTCCCAAAAGGAGGCGAGCTTTGTCGCCAGGATTCTACATGTAAGTGATTTTCTCGATATTGGTGCTTGATCATTTGCTCACTTTGCTCTTCCCCTTTAGTTGATGTCCCTCACGCCCCTCTCCTACTCACTGGTGATCCTCTACGATGAGTGCATCTACGCAGTTCGAGATCCCTTTGGCAATCGACCACTGTGCATCGGTGCCCTCGTCCCACCAAACAGTAGTCACAAAATGGATAAATTAAGTGTCAGTAATGTCGATGGTGAGTGATGATCTTTCTGAGATTATGAGAACGCCACTTTGAGTTGAATCTATCCACTTTTTTAGGTTGGGTCATTTCCTCCGAATCGTGTTCCTTTCCCTCCGTCTGTGCGCAGATCTTCCGCGACGTAATGCCGGGAGAAATTGTGAAGCTGGAGAAGTACAAAATGCCCAAAACACTGGCCATGGTACCAAGGCCTGATGGTAAGTGGTGCAGCACCACTGCTTTGTTGGCAGATGATTAACAAACTATTGTTTTTTTCAAAATAGATTCCCCACCCGCCTTCTGCATCTTTGAGTACGTCTACTTTGCCCGACCTGACTCGATGTTCGAGGGGCAAATTGTGTACTCGGTGCGACAGAACTGCGGTCGTCAGTTGGCGATTGAGGCGCCGGTGAATCCGCCAAACGGTGACACCTCTAATCTGATTGTCTCTGCAGTGCCCGAGTCAGCCATTCCCGCGGCTCTGGGCTATGCACTCGAATCAGGTATCCCCTATGTGGAGGTGCTTTGCAGAAATCGATATGTCGGTAAGTGCTTGCTGGGAGGTGATTGAGATTTGATGAAGTTCTAAATCTCTTTTTCTAGGACGATCCTTCATTCAACCGTCAATGCGCCTTAGACGACTTGCCGTCGCCAAGAAGTTTGGCCCACTGGCGCAGAATTTTATCGGCAAGACGATCATTCTCATCGAGGACTCTATCGTCAGAGGCACCACCATTGGTCAGCTGATTCGGCTGCTCAAGGACGCAGGTAAGATTGCTTGTGCTTTTCAATGATCATTACTATAATCAGTTGTTATCTGTCATCTACTCAGGTGCTAAAGAGGTGCACATCCGCATTGCCTCGCCCGCCCTCCTCTTCCCCTGTTACATGGGCATCAACATTCCCACCAAGGAAGAGCTGATTGCGAATCACCTGAAGGCTGACCAGCTGGCACAACAGCTGGGCGCCGCTTCGCTGGTCTACCTCTCCGTAGAGGGCCTCAAAAAGACAGTCCAGAAGGACATTAAGGATAAGCTGGCGAAGAAGGGCGTCACCGGGGAGGAGCAGCTGCGCAACCAGGTGGGCCACTGTACTGCCTGCCTCACCGGACAGTACCCGGTCAAGTTGAACTTCTAAGGGCGCTCTAACGATTTAAACTTAAACGATGTACAAACCACTGACAGAGGCAGAAGCTTTTGTGTTTTTGTGTGTGTGACCAATTCTAGTGAAAGTACCAAGTACCCCAGTTATCCCCTCCCTGTTCATTCTGTGAGACTTTTACCTCTGATAAGACCACCACCTCTTCTGCTCAGTTGTCTGCAGCGCAAGAGTGCATTCCCTGACCTCGGCTCAGGCTTTGATCTTCGACAGACGCAATTGCAAATAATAATATGAATATATAAAAATACCATCTCCACCACCACCACCTGGACTCAGCNACGATTTAAACTTAAACGATGTACAAACCACTGACAGAGGCAGAAGCTTTTGTGTTTTTGTGTGTGTGACCAATTCTAGTGAAAGTACCAAGTACCCCAGTTATCCCCTCCCTGTTCATTCTGTGAGACTTTTACCTCTGATAAGACCACCACCTCTTCTGCTCAGTTGTCTGCAGCGCAAGAGTGCATTCCCTGACCTCGGCTCAGGCTTTGATCTTCGACAGACGCAATTGCAAATAATAATATGAATATATAAAAATACCATCTCCACCACCACCACCTGGACTCAGCAATGCGCTGATTGGGCAGAAGTTGTTCAGAGTTGTACGGAAGCAGGAGTATAGGCGGATAGGCAAGCCCTTTCAGAGTACAGTGCCAGGCTGCAGTGCACTCTACCACTGAATTGGCAGATTTGGCTATAAATCCATTTGCCTCGCTTCAGAGGCAAAGGCAGAGAATGGCAGAGAAGAGGAGAGGAAGCAGTGCAAGCAGCCAGGCAGATGGGGCGAGACGAGAATAGGACAGACAACGGAGGAGAGGACGACAAAGGAAAGGGTTGAGGAGGGGGGAAAGAGTGTGAGTCTGCCTCTGCTGTCTACTACACAACACCATCAGCAGGAATCTGCAATGGCGTTGTCGCTGTACTACGGCAGTCATTTTGGGTAGTCAGCGATTGATTTGTACCGCTAGAGCAATAAATGGTGGCGATTGCCATATGAGGGTGCATCGGATGCTGCTGCTGCAGTGCTATTGTTGTTTCTACTCCTCTTCTGCTGCCCTAAAAAAGACAGTCTTG